TTCATGCAAGTTGTAGTTCATGCAAGTTGCTTTCCTCTTTACTTGAGAAGAATTTCATTTCAACAATTTTTCAACAAAGACGAATCACCACTTACCCAATCACACGCGCCAGAGGAGTGGAGGGCACTCTTCGCTCTCGAGGTTTAGGCTTCGAAGCAGGCAACTCCACCTTCGCCCTAGATTCCCCTACTCCATCTTCCTTCTTCAACCTCTCTCCCAAGTCCGATGCTGGCGATGGTGATGGCGATGGCGGCACCTGTCCTTCGGCTTCATTTCTTTTTCCAGATGTCAACACATTCTCCTCCTTCGCCTCCATCTCCACGTCGTTCCGTAAGACATGATTTTCTTCTTCTTCCTCGTCTCTCTTCGTCCTCTCTGCCGCCGCCATAGCCACTCCTTCCCATCCCCTTCTTCCTCCTCTCTCTTCTTTCTCCACAGCAGCAGCATTTGGCAAGACGGACATTTTCGACGGCTTTTTACCTCCATCTCTTACTACTCCGTCAACAGAAAAAGAAGAAGAGGAAGAAGAAGAGGAAGAAGAAGAAGGAGGGAGGTCTTCCGCCATAGCTGAAACGCCAGCAGAAGAAGACGGAGGGACGTTTTCCACAATAGCTGAAACGCCAGCAGAAGCAGCGACCGGCTTCTCGAATGTCCTCATGGCAGTAGCTCCGCTCATCAATCGTTCCGTTCCGTTAAGTTTTCCGTCGTTAGCCTCCGTTCCGTCACCCTGGTCCTTCTGCTTGGTTGATTCGTGCTCCCCCCCCTCCCGCCGCGCTCTGACGGGCGCTCCCCCGCGGGGATCGCGCCGGACAACACCCAGAGTCGTGCCTTCCGCCGCCGGGGCGATCCGCTGACCAGCGGGGGAAGATCCATGTCCGCCGCCTCGCCCGCCGCCGGCGCTCGGCGCGCTGCGAGGCGGAAGGCCGCCACTCGAGGGGCCAAAATCTTGCACGCTGCTTCCGCCAATGGCGGACACGGTGTCTCCGATGGCGCGCAGTGCATCCGAAAGCGCGCCCATGATATCCCCCCGTCGAAGAGATCGAACGGTCGGGCTCGTTTCCAGCGATTCGCTTAAGACAAGGGCCACCCCTCTACCCACCCTCTCCACATCCCGCATACGGGGAGCGCCCCCTCCCGCGGCCGCCATCCCCTTCAAACGTCGAGTTGAGTGCGCAGTGCCCCCCCCTTCGTCCGCTCTCCGTCCTCCCCCACAAGACCGTCGACTCTCTCTCTCTCTCTCTCTCTCTCTCTCTCTCTCTCTCTCTCTCTCTCGCTTAATCGCTATTACTCCTTCCTCCCCCAGAACACCGTCGACTCTCTCTCTCTCTCTCTCTCTCTCTCTCTCTCTCTTAATCGCTACTATTTCCCGGGATCGGTCACTACAGTAATTGTCACAGACTACCTCTTTCCAGCTCCGTCCCCGTTAACCCCCCCGTTAACTCCCGTTAACCTCCCCGTTAGCCTCCGTTAAACTGCTCCACTCGAACAAAAAAAGGTTAATTGTCAATACCTTGTCATAACCTCGGTCTTGTTTTCACAAAGAACTCGTTTCGAAAAACACTACTACAAACTTTTTTTTTTTTTTTAATTACTACAAAATTTAGTACGACAGCGAATCACATTTAAAATTTCATTTTATTTTATTTTTTGAAATTTCAAAATTTTCGGATTTCCAAAAAAATATATATAAAAAAAAATCACATTCTTTCTTCGTTCACTACACCACTACTACTAGCTGGGACATTTGCAGGCCCGCACAAAAACAACAAACACACACACATACAGGCCTCCTGCAAATGTATACAAACACATTTTTCGGCCAGATACACGTGTAGACTAACGACCCTGATGTGAGTCAGGTCGCTGGCTGTTATACAGCTTCATACTATATATAGTTTTCCTTCCATTCTATTCATTCATTCTTTTTTTTTTTCCCTTCATATTGGAAAATTATGGCTTGGCTTTCTTAATGGGACTTCAAAAAAAACTTGCCGCTCGCTTTCGCTACACTTTACAATCCCGTAAATGTAGATTTATTATTATTTCCTTTTTTTTTTTATGCCTTTTTTTTCTCAAATGTAGGTTTGTTAAGAGCCCAATCAATTCCCTAAAAAATTAGTAAAAATTTACTAAAACTGCAAATCATCAATTCCGTCAATTTAACCAATCAACTCCGTAAAAATGAAGCCAACTTATTCTTAAATTTAGCCATTTAATCCGGTAAATATCGCCAATCAATTACGAAAAAAAACGTAGGCTCGACAGGTTCCACTTTTCTATTTACGGAGTTTTTTTTTTTTTTTTTTTTTTTTTCTTAATACCGTATGGTCCGATGGACCACGGATCAGATATTAAACTTTTGTGAAATGGCAATTCGATCCCATTTCACAGAA